TGTTTACTGTTATTATTCCAGTCTCACAGATCAGAGAACTGAGCATCAGAGTGAACAAGTGAATTCCCCATACACATATTAAGTGCTAGGGTCAGGACTAGAACCGAGGTCATTATGGCTCCAAAGCCCTTTCCAAAATACCACACTATCTCCTAATGCAAGGTGGTATTACTACCCTAGCATTTAATCCTTAGCAAAGAAGCCTCCATCTCACCAAACCCAAACATCCTTTATGAACATTCATAAAACATTCCTTATCAACAGTTACGTCTAATCATGATCCGAATTTTAAGGTTGAGCTACTCTAAACCCAGACAAGTCTACCCCAGACCATCTTGGTCAAACCACCTATTATAGGCAAAACACCTATATGCCTCTGGCCAAAAAAGCCATTTGAGAGAGAGCAGTGAAAAGACTTTGTGCAGGCATGTTTGTAAGAAACTGAGGCAGAATCCCATGTGGCAAGGTTGGTTGTGAGCCTAACATGACCAAGGCTTTGGCTGGAATAGCATTTACTGCATTAAGGAATTAAGGTTGACTTCATAAGGCCAATATAAAAGCCTTTTGGAAAACTGGCCAGATACCCCTCAGTAACCTTTCCTGATCTGTGGTAAGTAACGAAGGTCACTTGCTGACAGGTCTGAGAATGGAAATGTGCTTGGGGACCTCAAGAGAAGAGGAATTTACCCAATGCATATAGGTATTTAATGGTACAGATGAAACTTGGGCTCATGAAAGGCTTTTGAAAAGTCCAGCCTGAAAATTCCTTATAAAAGGTTCCAGCAAAAACCCCCTGACTTAAGGCCTACATGGGAGCAGAGGTTTGCACACAAATTCCTGTATGCCCAAGAACTTTCTTTATGCCTTGTTTAAAGATCCAAAGTAACAGCCTCCAAACAGCAAGGCCAGCAATGGCAAGTATTCAATCTACCTTGTTCCTCCATAGCCTCAGGCATCATCAGATAAGAACAAAGAAATAATGGCTAACAACATGTTCTCCATTAAGTTATGTTAAATTGGGTTATGTTGAAAGGGTCATGACAAAAGGTATATGTTGAGTGGATTATAGGAAACTAATCACAAGGTAGTCACATGATGTTTAAATGGATCAATGAGGTCATTGCTGTATAGTGCGCATGTACAAAATTCCCTATATAAACCAACTGTAAAGAAGCTCGCCATTTTGCCCAAGCGAGCAAATCGTCACCTTTATTTAAAACACAATTTCAATAAGCATGCTTATTCTCTGCAACATTGCTTTTCCGTGAAACCCTAACAGCAACAACCTACACTTTATTTTTTTTTCTTTTATTATTTATTTATTTATTTTGAGACAGAATCTCTCTCTGTTGACCTGGGCAGAGTGCTGTGGCATCATAGCTCACAGCAACCTAAACTCCTGGGTTTGAGCAATCCTCTTGCCTCAAACTCTTGAGAAGCTGGGATTACAGGGGCCCATCACAATGCCTGGAGAGTTTTTTCCTATTTTCAGTAGAGATGGGGTCTCACTCTTGCTCAGGCTAGTCTCTAACTCCTGAGCTCAGGTGATCCACCCGCCTCGGCCTCCCACAGTGCTGGGATTATAGGCACGAGCCACTGCACCTAGCACAGCTGCACTTTAAATGGCAAGATTTCCCATGACAGTATTAATGTACACAGCTATGATAAAAGAAAAATAATAATAAATAAATAAATAAAGTAAATAGCAAGATTCAGAGGTGGGGGGGTGAATAGAAGTCTCTATTCCTAGATGCATGACTACTACAGCCCTCACCCCCAAATCTTAAGCCAGAAAAGAAAGCCTGGCTTCAATGTGTGTTAGGGACAGAAAGATGAAATCTTGTATCACTGTTATTTCAACCCACAGTGACCCAATTGTCTAGAAGACAACTACCTAGGAAATGAAACCAACTTCTAATCCCAAGCAGCCTCTAACATCTCTAGTGCTTTTCTCTTAACTATTCTATCCACCCCTGGCTTTCAGAAACTGAATTCTATCTACCACCAGTACTACTCCACAACCTCTTTCAGGTCTAAAGAAGAAATTCAGTTCCCTAGTTCTGTCTCCCTCCCAGCCTCATAGCCTTGTATTCAGTTTTTTGTTTGTTTGCTTGCTTTTGTTTTTTTTTTATTTTTTTGAGACAGGGTCTCAAGCTGTCACCCTGGGTAGAATGCCATAGCGTCACAGCTCACAGCAACCTCAAACTCTTGGGCAAAAGCCATTCTCTTGCCTGAGCCTCCGAAGTAGCTGGGACTACAGGCGCCTGCCACAATGCCCAGCATTTTTGTTGTTGTTATTGTTGCATTGTCATTGTTGTTTTAGCTGGCCCAGGCTGGGTTCGAACCCACCAGCTTCTGGGTGGCTAGTGCCCTAATCATTGAGCTATGGGCACCACCCTTGTATTCAGTTTTGCTGCGCTCTATATTACACAAAATTCTTCAAAGGCATCAATACACCATGCAAACACACAGAACACAGACATGGGCCATGAGGCCAGGACCAGTAGTGTCTAGCATAAAGGGCAAAACAATGGTTCTATGGAATGAGTTTATGCCTAGGAGATAAGAGAGCCAGGCAACTCATTCTCCTTTGGGGGTGATTGGTCTACTTGAATTCTAAGCCCTTTCCTCATACCTTCAACATATTCCTTACCTTTCCTCTCTATTTCTACTCACCATATGTAAAGATGCCAGCTAAATATCAGTCTAAATCTAATAAAAACTGGACAATAACTCTTCTTTAAAAAATAAAACCCATTCTCAGGACAGTGCCTGTGACTCAGAAGGGTAGGGCACTGGTCCCATGTGCCAGAGATGGCAGGTTCAAACCCAGCTCTGGCCAAAACTGCAAAAAATAAAACCCAATCTAAATTAGTCACTGCAGAGATTACAGAGGTATGGGATAGCTCACTGCCATAGCTTCATTTGGGATGGAAGCCCAGATGCCTTCTAGCCATGATGACATGGGTTGCTCATCAGCTTTTATTACTGTCTGTGTATTTAAGTGTGGTCCAAGACAACTTCTTCTTCCAGCATGTGGCAGGAAAAAAAAAAGAAAAAGGTTGGAGAGCCTTGAACCATACTCTTACCTAGATACTGTATAACATGTTAACTTTTTATTTTTTACTTGTTCACATTTTCTGAGTTTTTTTTTTTTCTGTAATGAAAATATGAGAATAGTGTTTGAATGGATAGGTGAATGAATAGACAGAAGGCTGGATAAAAGGATGGAAGTGTGGATGGTAACAAATCTCTTTGCAAGGCTAGGGCTGGGTATTGTTTTAGACTGCTTTCTTCTCTTGATTCTCTCTCCCTTCAATAACTAGAATCTAAGACCTGCCCCAGAAGCACTTTTCTCCCAATTTATAAGTTCACTATGTTTTTGCTAAGCACTTCCACTACCCCAAATACAAATTCATTAGCAAAAAAGTGAAGCCAACACTATAATTCATTGCTATTCCAAATAGATTCCCCTCTCAACATTTGACTTTTCACATCACATACACAAAAAATGACTGGCACAGTTATTTGTTGAAGTTGCAGCTAAATAACTATTGCAGACAAAAATGATTTTAAAAGAAATAGAAGTGGATGAAGAAAGAGAAAAAAGGAAATAAAAACCTAACAACTAGGATCTGAGACAATTCTCAAAATTTTCAGACAGTAAACTTAGCTGGGTTTCTAGGCTGAATTATGAAATTCCTGGCCCAGGGCTCAAAATGAGGTTAAGAGTGGCTTCATCCACTTAGCAGAGGCACAATTCCAAGTTGAGACCAGGCTCCTTTCACATGATGAGCCAGTGGGGACATACAAGTGAGGAACTCTCAAAGCACAAATGCCAAGTTTCTCTCAATAAAAACCACTCTGCCCAGCTGTGTAAAAAATAAGGAAAAGAGTTAAAACCAACTCAGTAAAAATGCACCTGCACTCACTCATTCTTAGCCAGCTCATGTTCATTCTTTTGACCTTCACTTATTCACCATCTCCTCTGTTGGGCACTAAGGATTCGGCAATAACAAGATATGTTTCCCAAATGCCCAAAGCTCACATCTCATTCACTCATTTTAAAAATATTTGAACCCTACCACATACCAGGTGCTTAGAACATAGTAACAAACAAGTCCAACAAAGGCTTATTTTCTAGTAAGGAGAGACAGATAAAAGACACATAAACAACCAACCAGGATAAATTTCAGATAGTGATAAGTGTTAATGAAAAAAATAAAATCAAGTATAGGAAGAAAAAGGCTTGGTATGGAACTATGGCTAGAGTGATCAGAAAAGGCCTCTCTGAAGAAGAGACATTTACAGAATAAAGAAGCAGCCAGTTATGTGTATGTGAGATGCCAGTGCATGGCCAATGCAGACACCAGGCAACACACAAGAATGCCGTGACAGTCACCATACTCAGAGTATGTACAGAGCACTTGGAAAGCATGTGGAAGAGACACTTAACCCAGTCTGGGGTTCTCACCAAGCCCAGATGGCCTCCTCCTGTCTCTACCAGCAATGATTTATAGAGCACTACAAGAACCTGACTCAGGGAAGATGCAATATGGAACTACAGACATGAAGCTCAGCCCACGGGCTTCAGGGAATTTAGCCTCAGCAGTAACACAAATCCTCTCCTTCTCTCAGCCTCAATGTCCTCTATCTGCAAAATGAGAGCTCAGAAGGCCTGGTGATGAACCTGGAGTCCATGTTGTTAACAAGCTCTACTACATGACCATGATACATGCTGAAGTATGAGAACTAATAGCCTATATGATTCTACCTCTCTTTTTCTTGAGGTAGATAGGGGATATATGACCAACTGGCCTGGCTGGAACTTTGGTTCCATAACATCTTCTGTAGTGCAAAGCACAGTATCTGGCATAACAAAGCTCTTTGTGGCTTTCATAGGCTTCTCTTTCCTCCCTCCCATCAGGCCACCACCCTCAATATTTTCCCAGGGGGCTGGAGCCCCATAACCATGGGTTATCATTTGCCCCTCACCATACCTGTGAACATTGCACAGAAGTAGGGGCTGCAGGCTGCCAGGACCACACGGTGGGCTTCTATCTCGACATCTTCTGCCACAATCATCACGTCACACAACAGCTGTTTACTGTAAGACACCAGTGAGGGGACAGGATGGGTCATAGTATAGACACCAATCCCCATCATACACCAGTATTTTTTTCTCCCACCCAGACTTCAGACTATCACTGTCACAGAGACTTGCTCTACCTTGAATTAGGCAGGAATGATGGATTCATCAAGTTTTCTAAGTCTCTGATATGCCTGACATTCATGCTTTCCCAAAGTACACAGAGAGTACTACTCTCTGTCTGTAAACTCAGGGCTACTTCATTGTCTTTACCTCTCTGCTCCATAATTCCATCAGTGGCTCAGGAAGCAGTGGCAAAAGTTGGGATTGTCAACTGAGTGACTCAATATCCAAGACACATGGCTGCATACATAACACACAACAGACTCTAAATTTTTAAAGAATGAATGAATGAAATGGAATCAATGCACATTCACAGAGGAAATCAATACATGACTACTTTAGAGATTATGCCACCCTAACAATTTTTCCTTCATCAGTCTTCCAAGATCTTACATACATAATATCAATGTAATAGTTAACATTTATTGAATTATGCGTGCCAGGCACTATTCTAAGCACTTTTAACTATTTTTTTCTATTTTTTCTTGTTGTTTTTTTTGAGACAGTCTCAACCTGTCACCCTGGGTAGAGTGCCGTGGCATCATAGCTCACAGCAACCTCCAACTTTTGAGCTTAAGCAATTCTCTTGCCTCAGCCTCCCAGGTAGCTGGG